AGACTTACCCTTTAACTTAACCCCAATTCAAATATTTGTGAAACCTTGAAACTGAATTATGCTAACTCACTTACTCGTTACTCTGATAGAACTTAATTCTTTTTTTTTTTAAAGATTTATTTATTTGCTCATACAGAACTGGGGTACAGGCCAAAGGCATAGGGACTGCGAGAGGCTTCACCAGAGACAGAGTGGGGAGTAGAACAGGCAGATCCTCGAAGTACATTGCTGAGGGGAGCAGCGGATGTGTCAGGAGAGGTCTGCCACGCCATGTGGTCACCTCTGGGGCAGGCGGGAATCGAACTCATGCTGAAGTGGCTTTAGCTTCTTAGTGCTGTGCTTTAACCCGCTGCACCACCAGGGAGAGCCAAGCACTTAATTCTTTAACTCATCTTTATCCCTATAATGCTTGCATTGCCCTCTTTACTAGGGAGTTACCTCTTTTTATCCCTTCGCCTTGAATATTACGTACTTAACACAAGCAAAACTGAGCCAATATACTTTGTATTTAGGAAGTGATTAAATAATTATATTGGAACAGAAAATTTCATTACAATAAGGTCATTTCTGTTTTTACTGACTACTGTATGCCTGGCTCCCAACACAATAACAGACATGGAGGAAGGAGTTGGTAATATCTGCTGCCTAAACATTGGGTGGTGTAGCTCTGCTCACTGTAATTCTCTTAGAGAACTTTAGAGACTTTGATGACCAGCATCACACATTTTATACCAACTTCATTTTGGATAAAAACATGTCAGTAGATATTCCTAACTGTCCTCACTTTATTTCTCAATTAAATTCTATTCTTACTCTCACTTCCCCTACCCACCCAACAACTAATTCATCCCACATAGGTTCCATAGTCTCGCCTTCTTATCATTTGCAGATACATAAAATTTCAACTCCGTGTTCAGTGCCTTTTCATCTTTCATTCATATATTCATATATTTTAGCATGCAGCACAAATGTGTCAAGTAATAGATAAATTGCTGGCCATGCAAATACCGTTGTTCCCACAAGTGTCAATATTCTAGAGAATGAAGTTATTATAATAAAATTAGTTCAGAACTAACACAAGATCAAAGTGCTAGAAAAACGCAAGGGTTTGTGTACTGTTTTTCCGGTGCCTGGAATTTTGCTCTCTAAGTTTTCCTCCAAAAAGCTGTTAATATTTTACTTATCCTTTAAGATCTGACCTAATCTAACATCTCAGTGAAATTTTTCTAAATGTTTTCTGTTTGATTTTCTTCCTTCTGCTATTCCTCCTTCCCTGAGAGGTCTTTCATACTATTGAAGTCCTTCACTAAACTGTGTGTATCCATCATTTGGGAACTGTGTCTTTTCCCTTTTCATGTTCTCTCAGTTCCCTGAACTTATTGAATGGAAATCTTTGCCCTGCCTCAGTCATATCATTCCCCCGGCCACAGCACATACCCGCCACACAACATATCTCTTCTCAAAGTTATCGAGTCATTTCTCCAGCAGTTGTGTATGTGTGCACACTTATATGGGGTAGCGGGTTGCCATGGCAACTATTATGTGGTTGAGAAGTTCTCTCCTGTTTAACTTCTCCCTTTGGGTGAGAATGAGGAAGTTATGGGTCACCTAAAAGAACAACTCATCTTCTAGTTAAAGAGAAATGTTTGCTTCATTTACCATTTGTAAATTCACTTACTGTTAACCTATGTCTCACATTAGGAAATAATGTTTCTTGTTCTTTGCGTATCTAAATCTTTATTCAGA